ACCAGCCACAAAACCAGCAGCTACTCACCTGATAAACTTGGATGGAATCATGCTACTCTTGCTACTACAACCTTTAAGACTACCCGAAACAGTTACAAAATTCAGTGTATTTAGAAACAAAACCTGAGTTGCCTAGAAAGAAAAAAATACATGTAAAGACAACATTACTAACTTATGCATTACCTTTGATGTATGTGAAGAATCATTGTGCGTGAAAGTGATGTTGCACTCAATATTTACTATTATAAGAGCATTAAATTCTATAGTTCTACATTTGAAAAATAATTAAAGACTATTATATACACAATATATACTTTAATATTCTTTTAATGTCATTTTTTTCTAAAACACTCAATATAAGATCTCTCTTCCTTAGTCTTATTAGTAATTAACAGCTTTGAAAGACTGCCCCATCCCAATCTGATACACCAAGTACAGAGTCCTTGCCATCATCAGCACTAAAAAGTACAGTCAGATTTGACCTCTGACTTACTAGAAGGAATAATATTATGAAGTGGGAACATAACCTCTAATACATTTTAGGCCAAGGCTTGACTGAGAATCACCCAGAATATCTGCAGACACAATACAAGTGAAATTAATTTCTTTATTACTGCAGATTAGAAATGACAGAAGAGCTTACATGAACTTCTAGCTGAACACCACATTCAAAAAACCTACAAGCTGTAGTAGAACGTTTCAGCTGTGGATATCACTGTGAATATAATCCCATGTATCCTTCTCAATGATGACAAATCAGCCTAAAACTGTGGTTTTAAATGTTCATTACCACTTCATTCAAACTGAACTATTATCTTAAATGATGCACTGTCTGTCATTCATACCTTTGGATCAGTTTGATTAACAGCCACTGCAAGCAGAAGTCCATCTCTGGCAAATGCACATAGCAAAGCTCCTCTTGACTTCACAGACACACACGGAGGAACCAAATTAACGAGGGAACAAGTCTGCTGTACCCAACGGATCTGGTATGGCAGAGAACTGAGTAACAACAAAAAGACAACAAAACCAAGTGGTTACTACATTATGCTGCATGAGATGATTTACATATAACAAAATAAAACATTTAAGACAAAACCAACATAAATCATGAACAATTAAGAAAACAATCACTGATTTTTCTTAAAACACATTACAAACGAAAAAGTATTTTGTATTTAGGCAAGTATAAAAATCATGTCAGAGTACTGAGAATGATTCTTATGGGACAGGAACTTGGACAATTTGTATAGAACCTACAAATAAATATAGATGCATGACATGTAATTAAGACACTTTAGCCAGGAACAACTTCCTCAGCCATTGCAACACCATCCAACACAGGAACACTCAAAATCTGAAAATGCTGCTCTGAACAAAGAAGTTGTGGATGCCACATTACTGGAAGTGTTCAAGGACAGTTGGATTAAGCTTCCAGCAACCTGATCCAGTGGAAGGTGTCCCTGCGCATGGCAGAGGGTTCAGCTAGACGACCTTTAAAGGTCCCCTCTAACCCAAACTATTCTGTTACCCTAAAAAGATTCAAAACATGATAGAAAACACAAGAAAAATTGCATTTGGAAGCATTTCACCTAACAGACAAAAAAAAAAAGTACTACATTTTAAAAATGAATCAATAATAAGCAATAAAATTGAGCATGAATTGGCATCAAAACATATGAGTAACATGTTTGAGAAATGTGGTTATGACTTCAGGTTGCAATTACTATGGTGTGTTTATGTATGCATTTCTACACTGGGTATGTTATGCTCTGTTTCATCTTTTAGATAACCAGAAAGGTACTGATAACCTGAGTGAAGATTAGGGCAAGAAGGGTATCAATACTAAGTTAGTACCAAAAGGGCACCTTATAACAAAAGCAGTTCTACCACATCAAGAGCAGGGCAAAATTTTAGCTAGTTATTCACATGATACCTGCAGAGGAGATATCCATTTAAACTCACAGATACCTGTATCTCACTTAGGAAGAGGAATGGTCTCTATATATGTGCATCAAACTGTTACTCAGTTCCACTTTAAGTGGTAGTGCCAGCACAACTATGGCCGTGCGTGGTCCCAAACCAGATAAAGAGATGCGCACACAATTATTTCACGGCAGAAGAGATGATAAAGGGAACAGAAAAAAAATAAAATACACAAATACTCAAGATACAGAAGAGGAAGATGTATTCATGGCATTCATGGCCGCACAGTATGTACTAGCAATGTGAAAAAAGCCCCAAGAAATTATTAGCACGATTCAAAACATTCCAACACTAAAACACATGTATGTACAGACGTGCGTATGTATACAGACACCCACAGAGAATGACAAATACACTTCGTTTTATTTAGGTGTAAGCTGATAATGAAGTATGGAATATGCAAATAAACACTGTTACATCAACTACATTTTACAAGGGTATGTAGTGATAGGACAAAGGGGAATGGCTTCAAAGGGACAGAGAGCAGGTTTAGTTTAGGAGGTACTAGGAAGAAATTGTTCACTGTGAGGCTGGTGAGGCACTGGCACAGGTTGCCCAGAGAAACTGTGAGTGCCCCATCCCTGGCAGTGTACAAGGTCTGACTGGATGGGGCCCTAAGCAACCTGGTCTAGTGGAAGATGTCCCTGCCCACAGCAGGAGGGTTGGGCTAGATGACCTTTAGAGGTCTCTTCTAACCCAAACCATTTGGTAATTCTAAATACTTGAAAATGGTGTCTATGATTCTAAAATACTTAATATACATGCATATATGATGTGGCATGGTATGAACACACATGTGTAAACATTGCAGCCCTGAATCTCAGCTCTAAATAAGAATTAAAACGCTTCTCAAGCTAATGTAACTTCAAATAT